TTTTCAAAATTGTAGTGAGAAAAAAGTTGAATGCGGCAAACACTTCGAAAACAGTCTCAGTAGAAATATTGTTGTTGGAAATAGTTTTTGTGATTGTGGCAACTGTAAGAGGTAGTATTTATAAAAATTGTCCTACTGGTTGGGGTTGTAGTTGTGTATTTGTGGCTGTCGTAGCGCTGCTATTCATATTAATTAAAGCTGCGTTTGCAGTTCATGAAGTAGCAATTGTAACAGCAGCAGTAGTAGTATTAACATTATATCAAATAGAGTTAATAGAGACATATAACACATTTATGCAATGCTAAATAGACCAAAATGATTTAATGATACAACATTATACCTCGCCTATGCATGTAAAATCGTTTCTTAAAAGTAGTTATCGTAATGTACCAAAAAATTGTTCTAGTATTTTAATGTAAAATGATTGTTAAATCGTAAACTCGTAGTATATTTATACTAGCATGAACTCTATCCCTTGCTTATTATTGCATGTAAGTTTGGGTATTACAAGACGGTTTCAATGATTATACATTGTTAGCAATCGATTTTTAGGTTAGCAGAAATTACAGTTTCTGTAATTACATAAGCCTAGCTGCGTTAAAAATAGAAATAATTGTGATAACAGCAGCATAAGTAATTATAATAGTAGTAGTAGTGGCAGCAGTATTAGTAGTAGTAGATGTTGTTGTAGCAATAGTATTTGTTGTTATTGTAAAAATGAAAAACACTAAACTGAAGTAGTGATTTGCGTAGCATTAGTTTTCATAACATTTAGGGTAATACCATCACGATTAAGTTACCCATGAATGACGGTAAGTAGACTAATAAAAAGCATTGAAACTGTAGTTATCATTATAATTGTTGTAATACTAGACTAGTAAGAGCATTTGTAATAATAATAATAATAATAATAATAATGAAAATAACAATAGTAGATACGGTGATGGTAGTTGCAGTAGTATCTGTGGTAGTAGTATTATTGTTAGTACTATTATTTATGACAACCGTAAATTTAGTAAAAGCAACGGTCATATTCGTGATAATAAAAATGTGAAAGTAAAAGTGGTAGTAGTGATAGCAGTAGCAACAGTGGCTGCGATAACAATTGTTGTGGTCATTTTTCGCGTCATTAGCAGCTTTCGAGACAAAACCATTGTCGTAAAATAATCATCCCGTAATCAGATTATTCTTTTTTGTTGTTGTTTCTGTTTTGCTATGGGAATTGACATTTTTATTAGTATCATGCTGAGTTTTTTCTTGTTTTTTTATAGTTTTTTTATTGGTCTTATGCTTAGTTTATATATTTTTTTTTTCTTCATTTTAAACTTTTACAATTTTCAACATTTCAAAATGTAGCAAGCGTTCAAGAATTTTTTTTTTTATTATCTTCAGATAAGATTGCGTTTCAAATTTCATTTAATATTATTTTTAATGACAATAAAAATTTTAATAAAATGATTTTTTGTGTGCACTTGAATGTTCATCATTTTACTTTATACAATTATCATTTTACACTTCACCATCTCGTTACGTCATTGTCACTTTCACCTTACAAATCATACATTCTTCAAGAAATAATTTTGTTATTAAAATTTATTAAAAACAAACTGAAAAATCAGTTATCATTTTAATTATTTTTTATAATAAAAACAATTATATTAATTATAATAATTAATTATAAATAAATAATAATGCCTATGATCAAAAATATTGATTAATACACACACCACCATAACCTGAAATATTCTTCTTCTACTTCTTTCTCGTGCCTTATCCTTTCAGGACAATGGCGACCATCGACCTCCACAAGACCAGATCTTTAACACTTTGTAGTACTGTGGTACTCCGTATTAACGACTTTGAAAATGTCATAGAAATCAGGACATAAAAGAGGGTGTCTTAGAGGGGGAGAAAGCATATATAGAGTGACGCTTAATGTGAAAAAACAATCCGTCAGAAACAAAACGGTCGGGAATGGGAGAAAGAGAGAGAGAGAGAGAGAGAGAGAGAGAGAGAGATAGAGAGAGAGAAAGAGAGAGAGAGAGACGTAGATGAGGAGGTCGTTGGGGAGGAGTAATACTGTCTGTAGTTGAAATGTGGTGATGATATTCAACAAGTGACACAAGGACTTCATGAATGTTATTCGTTGTTGAACGCGATCTTTTTTTCACTGCATTCTTTCCAGTTGTTGTTAGATTTTCCATTTACCATCGACAAACACAAACCAAACCAAAAAGTTGTAAAATATAAAAATAAATAATCATCAACAAACAAAATTTGTTTCATTTTCTTTCGCATTTTTTCAGAGTTTTCTTTGAAATTTCCATTTCGTTGATTTTTTCGTAGTGGTCATTAAAATATCGTTGTTATTATTATCATTATCACTATCATTCTTCTTCTTCTTTTTCTTCTTATTATTATCTTTTATATCGTAATAATAATGATAGTAATAAATATAATTATTATTATTATTAATGTTATCAGTTTTAGTAATAGTAGCAATAGCTGTTTGTAGCAGTAGTAGTAGTTGTTGTAGTAAATGTAGAAGTAGAAATAGTATTATTATATAATTATTATATTATTATTATAACAACAGCAGTAGTAATAAGAATAGTTGTAGTAGTGGTGATAGTAGTAGTAGTAGTAGTAGTAGTAGTAGTAGTAGTAGTAGTAAGAGTAGTAGTAGTGGTAGTAATAGAGTAGTAGTAGTAGTAGTAGTAGTAGTAGAGTAGTAGTAGTAGTGTTTTTATTATGATACTTATACCAAAATCATTTTTTTTCCATAAAATTTGTGTTTTTTTATATCTTGGAAAAAATGTCGTAATCTCTGTGTTGCCAGAAAAGTTCTTTCTTTTTATCAACGATCGTTATCCGAGTCAAAAATTCTCACAAATATTGGCGTTTGAAATTTTCATTTGTCTTTTTCCTGATATCCAATCTATCGCTTTCCACTATTTTAATGTTTACTATCCTAGAGATGATATCTACCCCCGTACATATTGATACTACTACATATTGAAGAGGTGTATTTTTGCAGAACTCATGATGTCATTCATTGAGGATAATATTTAAGGCACATTTATGCAGTCTAAATCATTACACAGTACACATTTCTTTGAATAACTACGTGAATTTGTGAGTTGTAGCTGTGGTTGGTTGTAGTCGAATCCAACAGCTGCAACCATCCCAAGACCAAGTGCACAAAAATATTTTATCCCACTTGGAAGTTTTATTTTCTGTTCAATAAGTTAAGAAATGTATTGAAATGTGAAAATGTATTTGTTTAGATTGTTTGCATGTAAATATTTAAATCCTCAATATGACTTTCTTTTTGTTATCAAGATCAACATGATCAACATAATCAACAAAATCAACATGATCATAACTATTAACATGAATCTTTAAAACCCAATTTTCATCATCATCATTGCCATCATCATCATCACCGTCACTACCACCATCGTCGCCATCATCGTCATCATCATAATAACCACATCGTCGTCGTCGTCATCTTGTTGTCGTTCGTCACTGCATAATTATTCTGACCGGCAGGAGCGTTTACGAGATAATGTCACAAAAACCATCTTGTAAATTTTTAACATCCCATTCTATCATCATCATCGATTATCATCATCGTCGTCATCATCATCATCATCATCGGAATCACAATCGAAACATTCTTTTTTATTTCACAATCATAATCATCACCTTAATCATCGTCACTTTAATCATCATTACCACCATCATCTTCTTCATAAGCTTTATTGTCAGCTTAGTTCATCCTCATTTTCACCACCATTGTTACAAATACTATCATTACCATCCTCAACATCGTTATCATTCTACTCATCATGTCATCTTCAACATCGTTATCTTTCTACTCATCTTGGCATGAATAAGCTGAACTTAATTTTCATATTTTGCGCAATAAATCCCCGCTTGTTTGTTATTCACGCGAGCGTACGTTTACGTACATAACTTTCTGATCATTGCATTAGTTTTTTATTCATAATTTTTATTTTGCTTTCATTATTATTATTATTATTATTATTGCTTTTATTTATTAATCTTATTATTGCTATTTTTTTAATTTATTTTGAATATTTGCTTACTGAAGGTTCGCTCCATCACCTATTTGCCTTCATCATTTTAAAAATTGACAAATTTACGAAACGAACTTTAACAGGCGATTACACATCATTATTACCACCATCGTAACCAACATCATCATCATCATCACCTATGCGTCATCATCATCATCACCACCATCATCATTTACATCATATAGACATCATCATCATCATCACAGAGACTCCGTCATCGTCACATAGACATTTGTATCATCATCATCCTCATCATTACTACCATCATCATCATCATCCTCATCATCACTACCACCATCATCATCATCATCGCATAGATAGCATCATCAACGTCGTCATCATTTTCTTCCAAAGTAAAAAATTAGTTTTGGTGTCAGGGAAGACAAATTGATAGATGTCGGAAGGTGGCATTAATCCGAATGAAATTTTAATTTCATGCGTCTGAAACAAATTTAAATAAATTAGCACAAAAAATATACTTCCGTTTAACGTCTGCCTCCATCAGCTGTTTGCTGGCAGTGCTTTTATCTGCACGTTCACTTGCATCTAACATGTATCAATGTTAACGGAATTGTACTACTAATTACAAAAATGTTAATAAGTTTTGGGTATTAAATAATAATATCATAAAAAGAAAAAGAATAATAAAGACAAATAAGAAGAAGACCGCCGGCATAATTACTTGAAAACTGAAACAAAGGCAACACCACAAACAACAATGCAAGCAATAGATACACAATTTGGCGGAATTAATTGTACCAAAGACAAGCAGAGTCGAGTTTCATTGTCAGTTATACCTCCTAGCACATGATGCTTGTTAAATTGGAAATGTTTTCAATGCTATGTTTTTTTATCTGAATTTTTATTAAAAATGTTTTTAATTATAAAATTAACATCATGTGTTTTATTTATTATCGTTTACAAGTAAGAGTGTTAGTAATTGTAGAGAGAACTGCAGTGATTGAGACCATAGTTGTGACGTTCGAACGTTTTGAATTTTATTGTTGTCTTTCAACGTATCTAAACTGAAATGGAAAAAAATTTACTTATACGAAAGAACAAAATTAAAGTTACATCAATTTATGTAACACGATTTTTTTAAGATTTTAAATGTAATTCAGTAAATTAATGTAATTCTGTAAAATGAATTCATATGAAACTTACATTGATAAAAAAAAGGAAGAATCTAGGCGTTTTTAATAATCAAAGCTATCAATACATCGCAGTATCATATCATTAGACTGTTGTATTATATCATTAAACTGCAGTATCAAATCATCAGGCTGAAGTATCATATCAATTAACTGCAGTATCATATCATAACAACATCTAATTATAGCGTCATTACAACAATATATCTAATTGGTCTTCATCACGTGCTCCATCTTCATCACACTTAAGGCTGAAACGTATAAACAATTTCGAAAATTTCTAATCAAAGTCGAGGTTATTCCATGTTAATCAAATTTGTTACGCACAAAATCTTTTTTTTATATTTGTATATTTATATATGTAATATATTTATATATTTAATACATTTTTTTTGAAATAACTCAATGCCTTTTATGAATTTATTTTAATAAGAAAATTATAACAAATTTGATTGAACTGTTTGCGTTATAATTCTTCCCTACAAGATATTTCTTTTGTTAGCAAGTTTGTTTTCAGAGAATTAAGTGTAATTTTTTATGTGGAAATTTTTCAGAATTTTTCATATGAACATACTCTCCAGCTGGCAAACAAAATCATTTTTTTAATTTTTCGTATTTTCATGTTAAAATAAGCCAAAAAATTTCTTAATTTTATTTTTAAAAGAACATTTAAATTTTTGTGGCATTGGAGCGAAAATTAATTTGTCAGGAAAAAAACTTATTTTTTTAGTTTAATAAAGTTCATCGTAGCAGAAAAATGTATTGCTATTAAAATATTGTATTGTCTTGAGTAAACATCATTAGAATAGTTATTAAACAGCTATTTTTCTAGTTTTGATGGAAGATAGAATGCAGACTTTTGACGAAGATTGAAAAGAGAATCATGTGATTTAATGGAAAGTTTGATAGTCTTGAGATGAGAATATAGGCAAGATCGTAACGAGAGATAAAAAAAAACTCAAATCCGCTCTTCATAATCCGCACCAACGCATTATTATAGATTCACTCAAAAACAATTATTTTTCAACTTTTTAATTAAACTTCCTTCAAATATAAATCTATGAATTTATAATTATATATTTAAACTTTGAAATTTTGTTTCCAAACTGAAAAAATTACACGCAGGGAAGTACCAGCCAGCCAGACAGCAACATCAGCACCAGAGCCAACAGTTTTTTCTGCACGAAGAGTAACTCGATCGAGAAATTCATCTTTAATAGAACGCACGTACCAGAGAGGCCGATATGGAACCCGAAAAAAGAATGCGTGGTGCCGATTTTCAGGTTGCTTCTTCCTTCTTACGATCAATCAATTAACCTGTCCATCTGCCAGTGTGAAATAATTTTCTAAATTATTTTCTTTAGGCTGATGGTCTTAAAACAATTAGGTGGTTATCCAGTCTGTTTATCTGACAATCACAAATAGTTTGCCAATTTTTTTTTTGCTTTAATGGCTTTAAAACATCGTGTGGTTTATCTGTCTATTTTTAAATCCTTCATCAAATATTTGCAACTGTAATAAAAAACTTATCTAAATTTGTTTTCAAAGAATAAATGCATTAATTTATTTGAACATTTTCCGATTAACAATAATTTACAAAACATTTGTGAAAATTGAATCAAATTATTTGAAAATAATTTTCCATCATCACTGCAGGTGCAACCAATGTCTCACCGATGCCCGCTGCTCTGGACTAAGTGAGTTTATAACGAATGCTTTGCCCACCATAATTATACTTCGTAATTAGGCAAACAAAAACCATGCTAGTCTTTTTTTGTTTTGTATGTAAAAATGCATTCTTAATTGTATCAAGATTAAAAAAAAATACAAATATTAAATGACGTTGAATGGCTAAAAAAACTGGATTGGCGGTAGGAAAAATTGAATTGAAATTTCACAAAATTATTCCCGTGAAAACTACAATGACGTCACGTCCGCGTCACTACAAATGACAGGCGGAATGGATTTTAAGTGTTGTCAGTTAGACTGCCACACACTTCCAGAGTGTAGGGAGACCTACCAACCTGATTGCCAACACAACCCTGTTGTGTGTGCTGAAGGGGAAACAACGAGGTTTGTTGTTATTGTTATGCTGTTGTTGCTGCTGTTGTTGCGTTTTGTTGTTGTCATTTTGATGTTGTTCGGTCGTTGCGTTGATGTCATGTTGTTGGTTTGATAATGCTATTTGTATGCTATAGGGTTTTTTCTTAATTTATTCTTTTGTGAATTTGATTTGCTTCCCTAATTTTTTCTCGTGTTGTGTTATAAATATATATTTCAAACTTGCACCATTATAATACGGGTATTGTATTTAGATGGTGTAGTGTAAAAGTTCATACTTTCAACATCATCTCTGCTTTTTTTCCGAACGACAATGCATAACTGTTTTAAAAATGATTAGGTTAAAATGTTGAAATGGTCGAAACTGAATCTTATTAAATTTGAAAACTGTCATTGTGATAGAAACACTTAAAATCATATAAAAATCCTAACACAATTTAAAAATGCAGACTACAAACGACGAGAATATTTGTTATTAAAGAAATTCTATGAACGTATAGAATGATATGATGTCGTTGGCTGTGATGAAGATGACAGTGACGTCATTTAAACGTAAGTACGGATGCATTAATTAACGTGTTGTCCCTACCTAATGAAGTTAATGTTAGTTCAGCGAGACACCGAGAACCGTGCTCAAGAATTCATCACGCCAGAGACAGAAATGATACTGTGAAATTATTTCTGACATGTGAGATAGGAAGTGATCATTTTTTAAGACATCCCAAATTCGAAACGACGAAGTATTTTTACAAAAACTCAAACAAAATTTATATTCGCATGTAATTCAAATGCGTTTAGCTACTCAGAAACAAACTTGGAGTATAGATGGAGAAAAAGTTGATAATTATTTATTACGTATTTGAATGATTAAATATAGATAGAGATGAATGTGGAGATGTTTGTCATTCAGCTTGGCACTCCGTAACTGAATTAGTAACCCTCGCTGTCGAGACAGTCGGTAAAGACCGATAATATGTCTCGTATTGATATCGGTATTGACTTGATGATGATGTAATGGCAAAAAACGTCTCGGAATCCACACAATTTATGCGTTTTTCTTGTTCGCCTAATTTGATTACACATAAGAGGGGTGTGCCTTGTTTTATGATTATACTTCTTGTTTATGCGTGTTTGTCTCTGCTCTGATTGCTTTTCTATGTTCATCAACGTTTTCGTTTGCTTTTTAAATTTATTCTTGATATAATTACTAAAAAAGTCATTTTTGAATTTTTTTAAATCATTAAACTGTTGTTTGATTTTTTTCTGTTTTTCATTTTAATTAATAAAATTTTATTTTTTGTTTCGATTTCTCACCATTCTGTTGAACACTCGTGCGTTCGTTTTTGTAAAGTTGCTTTGTTTGTTCATTCTGATCCACTCTTCAGTAACCTGGTGTCGTCGCCTGGCTGGTACTTCAAATACAAAAATTTTACAAGAATTAGTTGATAACGTTAGAACTGGAATTCTTTCATCTACGTGCAGTGCAGAAATGTTTGTGAAATGGTTTTGTATGTATTTTGGTTTTTCTTACTCTCTAGACTTACTCTCTTCTACTACTTTCTTACTCTCTTACTTGGTTTCTCTCTAGAGTTTCTTAATAGAAAAAAATGATGCAAATCTCCGAAAATTTTCTTAATAGTTCATACTTTAAAAAACATTTTTAATTTAAATGTAGTTGTATCGAATAAAAAAAATCCCAATTTGGGTTTGTTCGTCAGAATTTGTTCATTATTGAGAATTATAAAAATGTTTCTATATAAGATAAAGATTTAAATAAATAACCTTTTTAATAAACTTCTATTGATATTCATTAAAAATACCTGTCTAACCAAATAATCTATTAGTCTTTTTTATTGAATTTCGTATAAAAATATTTCAACGAACAGACGCATGTTAAGTTAGTTGAGACATTATTTACAGGCTGACTCTTGAACCCGTGTACGAAGACTTGATGAGTTCATACTCGTGCCACGTCAAACGTTCGCACTACGCAGACATCAACAGCATCGCCAACAACAATTACAACAAAAAACATTCACAAGCCACAAATAAACCTCGTGACTTTAAAAGCAAACTACACAAGCAACAGAGGTACGGGCCGAAGTACGAGAGGTATGGAGCGCTTCTTGAGCACGAGACGGGATTGAAGAATAAAATGAAAACGTCTGACGAAGAAAAAAACTCACTACTTCGTCGTTCCTACGATTCCAATGAGGATTTGTCAGATGCATCTGTAAGAACGTTCGACGCGAAGTTAATGAAATATTTTGAAACTTTATTAAAAACACTCTCGAACTGGTATGTAAATGAAAACTTTGAAACACTTTTAAAGAGCACATCATCGTCACAAGATTGCAATCACCAACAGGAGAGTTCATCAGCAACAAACAAATTTTCTTCTTCAACATCATCATCATCATCACCACCATCCTTATCACCATCGTCGTCTTTGCCATCATCATCGTCAAAACTTTCATCATCATTAACTTTTCACGGCATAAATTCTCTTATTGGTGAAAATCAACAGCACATGAAACTTGCATCGAAGAGTAGTAATGAATACACAACAAGGAAAAATGACAACAAAAATAACAACAACAACAACATCAACAACATCGTAAACAATATTAAGAATGATAATAATGCTTTGCATAACAATAAGTTTCACATTAACGACAAATATAACAACAACAACAACGACAACAATAACAACAAATGGACTAAAGACAAAAACAACAATAACAACAATAATTATAACATAATGAAGCCATATCTTACCTTTAAACTCAAATATGTCGTAACAATACCGGAAGTTTTTAAAAGTAAACCACAGGAAAAGATTATAAATGTTTACGTCGGTAAGAAATACGGAATGGCTAATAACGGCCATGATAACAATAACAACAATAATAGTAATAACAACAACAATTTGAAAACTGATATTAAGAAGAGGAATGGTTTTGAAATAAGAAGAACAACAGCATTAGGTTATCAACGAGCCATCCAATATAACGGTGTTACACTGGACGACGACGATGATGAAGTAGATGGTGATGAATACGATGATGACGACGACGATGATGATAGTTATGGTGATAACAGTGATGAGTATGAGAGGGAGGAGAGATATGGTGACGTTGGTGCTGACAACTTTGGGGATTATAACGCGAACCGTAGTTTCGAAAGAGACGACGACGACGAAGATGATGATGATGAAGGTGATGATAGTACTGATAACTACAATGTTGTTCGTGATGACGATGATGATGACGAAGACATTGAAAATAATAACGACGACGATGATAATAAAATAGAAAACAAAAATAAAGTCGTGAAGGCTCTACGCGTCGACCTCTCGAAACATTCCACTTTTGTTAGTAATCAATTTATATATCTCTTTTTTACTTCAGCCATAACTTTTTGTAATTTCATAATTTTTCATATTTTTAAAAATAATTTAAAAATTTAAATTATTTTCTCGATTTGTTTGTCAGATGAATGACCTATGTAGCCAACTGAGTTTGGCTCTGGCAAATATTTTTATTCATAATTTGCCACTCCAACCTGCCAATTTATTTCACAGTTCCATGATCTTTTATTAAACACATTTCCCACGAATTCATAGAATCTTACAACTGTCTCTTCACATTTTTCTATTTCTCGAGCACAAATGTGTGAGCGCGTCTCTTTTAAAATTATTTTGTCTAATTATTCAAATAATTTTAATAATAATTTCGTATACAATAACAAAATTTATTGCATAAAATATTTAAGCTGTAGCATTAAACATATGACAATACCAAATAATTTCTTTTTGATTTATCTTTTGATTTGTTTCCTTGCTCATACAAAATTAAATTGAATAAAAAAATCATTTGATAGCCAGTGGTTTCTTATCAGACAGCCAAGTTTATGTAAGCAACAAAAATTGAGACCAGTGAAAATTAAGCCTAGAAATAAACAAACATTAGGTTGCCAGTTGCCAGATAAATCTATCATTAAATTTGTACTATTACAGATAGATGAGTTTGCATTGCTCCGTTTGCATGTATACGTAGATGAATGCGTGTTTATTTGATAGTGTATGTATGTCCGTATATAAGTCATTATATGTATGTATGTATGTTGTTTGTTTGTTTGTGTGTGTGTGTGTGTGTGTGTGTGTGTGTGTGTGGATGTATATATGTATGTATGTAAGTATGTATGTATATATGTATTTATGCATGTATATATGTATGCATTTTAGGTTCTGGTAAAACTGGCATTTTGATTTGCGGTTTGAAAATCGTGAAGTAAACGGCATGGCTACTGAAAGGACTTATTCGTCCGTTAATTGTTATTCATTTTCCATCTATGAACACCATGAAATTTGCTTTTTATACAAAGGGACAGCTACTGCAGGCTGACACATTTCTATGATATTATAGAATGTTTGACGTGAGTGGCACGTTGTAACGTAGCTAAGAGAAGAACTTTAGTGAATAATAAATTTTTGTTTGCTCGACAATGAAGCGAACAACGTTTAATTTGTTTTTCTGGGAAATCTTTTTGTTAGAATAATTGAGACTATTTATTGAGACAATATTGGAAAGTTGAATAAATGAATGGACATTAAATATGGTTTTTTAATTAATTTGTTTGAAAGAACAAATGGAAAAATTTTATTAAATTTGTTAATTAGTGTGAACTATTTTTCATCATTCCAATCTAATTACAAAGTTTTTGTTTTTTTTTTGTTTTTCTTTCATTGTTATGGTGTTTAATTATACGGAGCCATTACATATTTTTTTACGGCTCAAATATAAATTCACGCAAAATTAACTTTTATGATGGTGCATGTAATCAAAAATAGAAATTCCGGTAAATGCAATGCCTGTGTTTGTTTTGCCATCGTAAATTCTCACGCATTTTGTGTACGTATTTTTTGTATATGTATGTATGTATTTATTGTATGTATGTATTATTATTATTATTAATGAAAAATTTAATAAAGCGCTAATTCAAAGGATATCAAAAGCGCTATCAAAATAACATGAACTGAGCATGGCATAATCAACGAAAACGGAAAAAATCAGTGCATTTCAGCGAAAAACTATATAAAAAGTCTACACAAATGAACAAGAAAAAAACATACAAACAAGTAGGAACAAGAAAAAATCAATCCATTGTAAGCGAAACAATAAGTATTCAATTTTTCGTAGTCCAATACATGTATTTATTGTATATATGTATGTAAAAATTGTATGTATATATATGTATGTATGTTGGTATGTATGTATGTATGTACGTATGTATGTATGTATGTATGAACGTGGTTTTGGCATACGTACAAATATGAATCGTGTAATAAGAATCCATCCTACAGAATATTCGTGAACAATGATGATTATATTGTCGTTGCTGTACATGATTTACATGAGCTGATGACTCCGGAAACATATTTGCAACATTCTATCTTCGGATAAACCAAATTCAGCGGTGGATGTAGGATGTGCATGCGTGCTTTCGTCTTCTAGTGCCTTCATTCACTGTAATAGAGTTTCATAATTTGTTTCAACATTCTAAGAATCAACAAAAACATTTTTGTGCCTAAAATTTAGCGAAAACAAAATGACTATTTGGTAGGTAACCGACAACGATGAATCATTTTTATTTCGACGCCATCATACACTGCAGCGTCATTTTTTGGGATATAACGCAAACATTTTGAAATAACTTAAAGATGAACTAATTGATAATATAACCAAAATATTAAAATAATAAAATGTACACAACTTTGACTTAAGGAATAATGAACAATGGAATAATTTTTGACAACACATCAGCAATAAGTTTTGTTGAAGATAATAAAACGCCAAATGAAAAAAATCACAAAGCAATACATACAATAGAACTCATGCAAAACTATGGAGAAGCAGGAAGACACGCGCGCAATGACCACGCACACATATAAATGTAAGGCACGTTAAATCTTGTTAGTCCAACTTGCATATTCTGCCGGCACTGAAACACATCGTACAGAAAAATATGTAGCTCTCTCTATATAGAAATAAATAAATAAATTTGCAGTCCTATGTATGATACATAAACTTTTATGTCTGTGAATTTGTGCGTGGAAATATTTTTAGATATATATATATATATATATATATATATATATATATATATATATATATATATATATATATATATATATATATATATATATATATATATATATATATATATATATATATATATATATATATATATATATATATATATATATATATATATATATATATATATATATATATATATATATATATATCTAT